GATAACCTCTCATCCTGTCTTTCCAGCTCTGCCATTCTGTTGTTGGGATGGACCCCATGTGACCAGCTCCTTTGTTCGGGAGCTCGGGATGGGGGGGCGGATGGGGCGCCGTGCTCGTGGCCCCCAACTAGCTGCCGAGGCCGGGAAACTTTGTGGAAAACTTTGCTCTGGGGCCCTGGGAGGACCCGGGGCTCCGGGGCTCGCCGTGCACGCACCCGCAGCCTGTTGCTCCCCGCGCGCCCCCGGGCCTCGGCCCCGCTGCGGTCTGCAGACACCAACGCGGCCGATCGGGTGTCAGCGCTGCTTCCTCCATCCACCCGTGCCTCGTCACGATCCTGGGGTGCGCTCGGAGCCCCGCGCCCCTGCCCTGCCCTTAGTGGGCGCACAGGGCAGGCAGCCCCGGAACCCGACCTCGCCAAGGGCATTGGGCCGGCATCGCACACAGGGGAGTGGAGGTCAGAGCCCTGACCTGCCCCTGGCCTTGCCGCGGGAAAAAGCCCTGCGTCTTCGGAGCCTCAGTTTCCCCATCTGCACAAAAGGCAGAAGGCCATTCGAGCCTCGCTAGGGGCCCCTGCTGTTGGGACTGGGCACCCTCCAGAGCTGACGTAAACGCTGCCTTCTGCGAGTCTCTGCAGTTTGCAACAAGAGTTGGTTTTTGCTGAACTGCAGACCGAGAGACAAGCCCCCCAGCCCGCTTTGAGTGCAGTAAAGCGGGGCGGGAGAGAGAAGGCCCCCGCAGCCGACGAGAGCCCTTGCCTTCACGGTCCCCCTCTTGATTTACAAAGCCCGGCCCCCCAGAAGCTCGATTCAACCCAGCAGTCAGCCCGGGAAGAGGGAGGCAATCCCATCTGGGAAGTTGGGGGTACAAGGTGACCTGACCCCCACTAACCGAGGCCTGGAGTGTGTATGTCTCCCCCACCCCCCACCCCCCCAGTCCTTTTCCTCTTTTTTTTTCTAGGCAGGGAGTGAGGTCCTGTAGTTTAATCATTAATATGCTAATTCCTTTGAAAGCCACCAGACTCCTACTTCCCTGCCCTCCCTTAAAGGAAAGTCACTTCTGCCCTGCAGGCTCCCGTTTTGTTTCTTTTTTTGGGGGGGTCCTTGCTGTGTGGACCTTACACTCCTCAGCTTGCTTAATTCCCACAACAGCCCGACTGTTGATGACTCCTCAAATCCTGCAGCCGGAGAAGTTAGGTGACTTGACGAAGGGTAAAGTCCATTCACATGTGGTCAGCCAGGCTCTCCAGCCCTTGCTTTTAACTCCTCTGAGAAGGTTCCCATTTCCAGCCCCTCCAGTGTGCCTGCGAATCTGGTGACATTTAGGCCAGGAAAACCTCAAAGAGTTTCCGAGGACGCAGAGAGACCCAGTGTAGGATGAAGACAACCCCAAGCTAAGGGCAGCCTGGCCTGCAGGTTAGAGACCGGAGCCTGGACTAGATGGAGCCAGAGAGTCTTGTCCCCGCTGGTGGAATGCCTGGCATTCAGTGGTCAAGCACTCGCTCTGCCCAGAGCTGAAAGATTGGTCCTTTCAACAATGTGGCTGTGTGCGTCCATAAAGATTTACAGGTGGCCTTTCTACTCTGCCCTGTAGGGTAAAGAAGAGATCACCTCGATGAGTTGGGTTTGGGTTTGGTTGAGCGCCCTAAACGAGGTATGAAGGATGCTCTGGATTTGAGTGTTGGAGAGAGACATCCATAGGCTATTGGATCGTGTAGCACTGGCAGAGGGGGAGAGGACCTGGGAGGCTGCTGAGGTCATCCCGTGGGCAGTCACATGCCAGTCTTGCTCCGAGGCTGAGCTTGTAGACTGTGAGGTGAGTCGAAGGCAGTGGTGCCCCAGGGCTGTTGAAGGCTGTTGTTTGGAGAAGAAGGGGGTTGTGTCCCTTCTGTGTATGGGGGCTGAACAGCTGGGGCACACGCAAGCCCCGGGCAGCTGTTTCCTGAGAGGTGCCCCTCTCTCATCCTGACCGCAGCTCTCCAAATCTCTAATTGGGTCATAGGGCTTCCCCTTCTGCCCTTCCCCCTTCCGTTCCTAGGTTGTGTTCTGGAAAAGTCAGACTCAGCCACAGCTGGCTTAGCTCACAGAGAGGACCCCGTCGGCCTTTCATTTTGTAGGTGGGGATCGGAGGCCCAGGGAGAAAAGTTTGGCCAATAGCCTTTGGGATTTATCGAGTGGTTTCTGTGTGCCAGACCTGGTGCATTCTATCCTTGCAAAAAAGCCGACATTGTGGGACTAGGATTCGTACCACTTTACAGATGATGAAACTGAGAGGTAAGATGGATACCACTTGGGGCAGCTAAGAGCATCCATCCAGGCCATCACAGTTTCTGCCCTGTCGTCTCTCTTCAACATGATGTTGGTGCCCCTGCCCACATTTTAGGTGTAATGGAAAGGCCTGCCTTCTCCCTGGGTGGTGCCCACTCCCCTGATGCCACAGGTTTTGGGAAGGGAGCCCAGGCTGAGCACCCAGCTGCCCTCTTCTGTTTGGCGGGGGTAACCATCCTAAACCAGTTCTTCCTGTCCAGCTGGGAGCATTCCCCTGATCTGTTCCTGCCACTCCCTCCCTGGCCAATTAAAGGCAGCCTTGTTTGGGGAGTTGGACACCACCCCCCCCACACACACACACACTTATACACACCTCCAGAGGTGTTGTTGCCCAGGGACCAAGCCCACTGACTTGGCACCAAGCCCAGGCAGTTCTGGGGCAAATATCCCTCCCCCCATCCAATATCCCGCCTACCAGGTGCACTTGAACTTAAGGATGGTGCTTGAGAGAGAGTTTGCTGCTTGACTGACTGCACAGAAGTGGGGGTGGGAGCGGAAGCCCAGGGGGTGTCTAGGACCCTCAAGTGGTCAGTGAGAGCTCTTGGGACCTCTTTGGGAACCCAGAAAGTTACCAAACTCCCAAGAACTATTTGGGCCAGACTGTGATGGGGAGCTCTGAGGCCCTGAAGGGGAAAGGGGAGTTCCTTCCCCCCCTGAGGTGATAACCTCTCATCCTGTCTTTCCAGCTCTGCCATTCTGTTGTTGGGATGGACCCCATGTGACCAGAGTAGAGATGCCCCACGGGGAGTAGACTGTCCCCTCGCTCTGCAGGGAGCCACTGGGCCCCTTGGAGGGTTTAACTGTGGAGCCACCAGGGCTCCTTGACCTTCCACTCATTGTTTCAAATACCGACGATGACGAACCGATTCCCCTGTGAGTGTGGCAACCATAGAGGCCATAAGGGGTCCGTCCCTTCTCATCAGAATTCCCTGGTTCCGGAAGGAAGCCTACAGAGCCCTTCACCCACACATCCAAGGCAGAATTCCGCTGTTTATGTTGCGAGAAGAGTCCGCCCCCTAGTTAGGCCTGTCTGTAAGAGGGAGCACATTCATGCCTGTAATTTCATTCCGAAAGCGCATCCGGATTCTTCATTTCCAGGCGAATGTCTTCCAGTGGGACGTTTCGTTCCCATTGCACAGAAAACTGAGGCGCCGTCCAGGCCAGAACCAGGGATGATGATGGCACCCGCAGCCCCGCTTCAGTCCCCTTAGAGGATATTCCCGCTTAGGTTTGGGTCCCACCCTTGAGTGGCTGGGTGACCTTGAGCATGCCCTGCCCCGGGGCTCTCAGTGCCTCCAACTCTACAAGGAGGTTGGACTAGTGCCCTAGGGGCTCCTGGGCTCTGAGAGTCTGCCCATGGCTGGAGGGGGGGTGGGGCGTGTTCTTGCCCTCTTTGGTACCATGGCACAAGACTTTTTCTGGTCTCAGTAGAGACTGGGGTGGGGAGGGCTGGTGGGGGGCGGGAGGGCATTCAGCTCCTGCCATCCCCAGTGCCTAGAAACAGTGAGCTATTCCAAGGACGTGGAGTGCTTAGCCGGGGCCTGAATGAGCCATTGGAGAAGCCAGGCTGGGCTCCCGGCCTCTGAACAAGGCCCCCTCCACCCGCTCCAGCCTCTCGGGTTGGGTAGGAGGGTGTGAATACCCCCAGCATGTTTGAAATTGAGAGAGAAGGGGCTGACAGGGTCCCTGAGTCACTGGTGCAGAAGAACAGACGGAGTTTGTCTCTGAGTCACCCATTTCCTTTCACGCTCTTGGCTAATAGGATGGTTCTGGGGTGAGGGTGTTGGCATGGGCTCAAGAGCCTCGCCTGGCCAGCGTCAGCCTCTCAAGTGTCCAGGGCCCAAACCTTCACAGTCTCTTGCCTGTGGGTGACCTTTGACAGGGCACCAATCCTCACTATCAGCCTCTAGACCTCTGCAAAGCAGGGACCATTAAAAAAATCGATGTCGATTTAACACAAAACAGGTTACCACTGCTCTGAGTGGCGGGGCCCAGCCTGGACAGTCCAGCTTCCACATTCCTCCAGATGCCCAGTTTTTCTGATCTTCCTCCTCCTCCTCCTCCGTGGAAATGGACACCTGGTGGCGGGCTGACCTCTGGAATTCACACCCCCCTACCCCCCACCCCCCAGCTGTTGCGTGACTTTGGACATGCCCTCACCCTCTGGGAGTCTCAGCTTCCTTGTCTGATAGATCATAGAGTGACTGTTGTGAAGTGCCAAATGCCGTTGAGTGTGCAAATACAGGCACCTCTGTACTATGCCCAGGGGAGGCCTGGTGGCATAGTGGGCTGTGTGTGCTGCACGTGGTCGGCAGTTCGAAACCACCAGCAGCTCCCGAGGGAGTCTCAGAAACCCCCTGAGGGTCGGTCTCGGAGTCAGCACAGACTCGCTGGCAGTGAATTTGGCTTGTTTGTGGAACGGACGCCCGGAGGCACGGCCGTGCTGCAGTACCTATGCGCCTGGCTGCTAGCCGAATGGGGGACAGATTGAACCGAACCAGTGACTTCTGGGGCCCGTCTGCTGTCACTTGGAGATCTATATGAGTTAGAATGGCACCAAATGAAATTAGCCTCTTGGGGAGTAGGACAGGGCATCCCTGAGTGCCCGCTATCATCCTAGCCCAGATCACCTTGATGCCAAGTGGTCTTCCTACCCGTTTGAGGATACCTCCCCACCCCAGGGCCCCTGGAAATCTGAGTTCTCCCCTCCTCCCATTCATTCTTCCCTACAGCTGGGAGGGAGGTGTACTGGGTGGGACCTGCGGAGTTCAAATCTCCTATTTGTTTATCTTAGAAGTGGGTTGTTTGCTAATTATTGGATGGGTTTATATTTAAACAAGAATGAGTTCCTAGCAGCCCCACCCCTCCTGCTAGCACCAGCAGGAACCCCACGCTGAGCCGGTTACTGCTTGCTTGAAGGGAAGGGAGAAGGGGCCTGAGATTGGCACCTGGTACAGCACCAGGGGGCCACTCTCCTCTTGGGGGACAGTGATCTGTGGGAGGATAAGCTGAGCTTGCCTTAAGGAGGCTGAGGGAATGGCAAATTGTGTGTGTGTGTGAGTGTTAGGGCGGTGGGGGGCGGGCAGGCAGAAAGGTGCAGTGTTCTGAAAAGCCGGTTTTCATTGCGTGGTGCCCTGGCAAAGGGAGGACAGGAAAGCAAAATCAACAGTGGGCACCTGGCTTAACCCTAAGAGAGCAGCAAGGCTGGCTTCTGGGGCTGGTTTGTTAACCCTGGTGACCTTTGAATACATTCCTGCACCTCCCAGGCCCCTGGCGTCTGGTCGGCAGTTAGATCAGGTATGTGGGGCTGGGGAACTGGAAAATAAATGAGTGTTTCATAGGCAGGACTCCATGAGACGCTGAGTTCTGGTCCTGCTGAGCCCCCACCCCCCCACCCGAGCAGACGAACAGGCAGTTAATAAGTCACTCTGCTGGTGGGAGGTCTGGTGTCCTCTATAAAACATGGGTGCTGACGCCTGTGACACTCCAGGGTCAGACCTCATGTCTGGCAGGCTGTGAAGGGCTGGCGTGGCATCACAGTTGAGCACTGGGTCCATAACTTGAGAGGTTGGTGGGTCAGAACCAGTCCGTGGCTCCAACCTGCCCCGACCCATGGGAGCCCAGGGCACCAAGTGGGACAGCTTCTCCTGTCCCATGGGATCACTCTCCACAGCACCTAACAGCAGTGTTGAAGTAGAGCTGTTTATTAGCCCCCTGGACAAGGGCTCTTCACTCTGCCAAGGGGCTGGCTTCAGATAAGTGGCGCCTGTGTTGACCTTGAAAATAAGCTCACGGTTACCGTTGTGGGGGTTCAGACCTTTCCCGTGTTCCAGGACTCCCCAAAAGATTCACTTTCTGATCTTAAACAGTTGCATCCAGCTTTGGTCTTCAACAGTTGTCACACACACAAACACACCCCTTCTGTTTCCACTGCCCCACCCGTTTTACATCTCCCTTCCCCCTCCAGTCACCTTCCCACCCTTGGGCGCGTCCCTCAGGTCCGGGGAGCTGGGCTGCCCCAGTTCTCTCTGGCACGGAGTAGAAGACCTGCTGGTCAGGTGATACCTGGGGTAATGGAAAGGGGAGGCAGGGAACGGCTGGTATGTGTGGAAACGGTGACTGGGTGGAGAGGCCGGTTGGTGGTGGCCTGCGAGGACTGGCTGTGCCGCTTTAACCTCGGGACACGGGGCTGGGCGAGCAGGGCAGTGGGGACATCTAGCCCCATGCCTGTGGGACAGCCTGGCCGGGTCTGGAGCAGGGGTGGCGGCAGAAGCTGGGAAGGGGCAGGAAGCCGGCATCCAGGACTGATCTCATTGGCCTGGAGGAGGCTGTGGACCAAGGCTCTCTCTCGGAACACAGGAGGCTTGTTTACGTCCACGAGCCTCTGGGCCCGGGATCCACCGCTAGATTACAGGCCCCGCTTCAATGCCCCTCTGTCTCCCAGGCCCCGAGGGAGCCCGCCCCTCCTGGCTGTCTCCACTGGAAACCCGAGCGGTGCCCAGCTTGGTTACAGGGCCTCCAGGACAGAGGGAGGCTTGTCTCTCTGAGAACCCTCTTTTCCAGGTGGGGAAACTGAGGCCCTGGGAGGAAACCCCTCCCAGAGTCGCCCCAGGATTAGTGGCAAGGGTGCTGGATCATGCTCTAGTCTGGGAACATTCAGGGGCTCCAGAACCCCCCAGACCTGTTCCTAACTGGTACCCCAGGGTGCCAGAATCCCTGCTGTGGGAATGGGCTGCCCTGGGGGGTTGGGTGGGGAAAAGCTGGCTGCTGACAGTGCCAGACCTGGCTCTCCCTAGAGGTATTGTGTTCAAAGTAACCGGACCTTGGAGGGGGCAGAGCCCAGCAGTGGAACCCTCGCCCCACCCCCACTCCGGACCAGGTTTAACCCTTTCAGGTACCAGGGCACCAGGCTATGGAATGATATAAGGTTCCTTTTTACCTTCTAGGACAAAAAAACCCCAAACTTAGGGGGTGTCCCCAATTCAGACCAAAGTTAGGGGGTGTCCCCAATTCGGACTCTGGGAGTACAGGTCCCCAAACAGAATTTCGATGTTTCTGATCATTCACTGTTGTTTTTGCTCCTTCTAGAAGGACACTAATGATCGTGTCTCTGCCTCTACCTGGTCAGGACAGGTACTCAGAGCTGTGTGGTCTTGGGGCAGTTTGCTCTCCGAGTCTGTTCTTGTTCCTGCGAATGAACGTGACTAGTTGCTGAAAAGACCCTTGTGGGAGGGCATGGCCCTTGGCAGTTTTCAGGGCAGTTCCCCAGCGCCCACGGGCTTCTTTCCCGAAGCAGACCTGCAGTGGCCACGCCCCAGTTTCCAGCCATCCCTTCAGCCGGGAAGCAGAGACTGTCCTCAGTGCCATCGTCAGTTCCGACCCATCCTGACTCGTGGGACAGGGCAGAGCTGTCAGGCAAAAAGCAAATGAAAGCCAAACCCATCGCCTGAGAGTTGATTCGAACTCAGCTGTCCGGTAGGACAGAGGAAGCCGACTTATCTTTCTCGCCTCAACTTCTCCTGTTCCTGCCCCTCCCTTGTGGCTGCTGGGGTCAAGCCCGCCCTCTTCAGTAAGCAGCTGAGTGGGACTCTGGTCACTGCACTGCCAGGCTTCCTGAGAGAGGGCCCCAAGAATTCACTGCCTCAAATCCAGTTCATAGAGACCCTGCGTGGGACCGTCAAATTGCACCTTTGGCTTCCTCGCTCTGTGCCAGCCATCGGGTCAGTGCTGGCTCCTGGCAACCACTAGTTACGGGAGGGAGTAGAAAGCCCAGTCTTTCTCCCTGGGAGCTGCTGGTGGTCTCGAACTGCCGGCCATGCGGATCGGTGCCCAATGTGTAAACACGACACCACCAGGGCTCCTAATCCTTGAGTTTTAGGAGGCTGCACATCATTATGGGAACCGAAGGAGCTGGTATTCCTCCCAAGGAATGGCTGGCTGATGTGTGCAATCTGCCGATCCTGCTGTTAGAGGCGGACCTCTGAATCCCACTGGGCCCAGGGGTTCTGGTGAAAGGGCAAAATCAAACCAAACGCGCTACCATCAAGTCCAAGCCAACTAACTCATGGTCCTCGGGAGAAAGAGGAGGCTTTCTAATCCTGTAAAGAATCCGTCTCGGAACCCCACAGGGTCCTATAGGGTCTCTTTGAGTCCAGGAAGGGCAGGTGTGGGTTAATGTAGCCATTATGCCTTGAGCACCTGCTGGGTACCAGGCCACGCCCACTCGAGTACATTTCACTCAACTCAATCCTGCCCATCTTGTTAGGTGTAGGTGTTGGCAAGCCTAGCTTTAAAAGAAGGTAGCTGGGGCTTTGGGTTGTGATCGTTCCCAGGCTCCCATAGTTAGGCAAGGGCCCCCAGTGGCTCAGTGGTTAAGCGCTTGGCTGCTAACCAAATGGCCCTTCCAAGAGAAAGAAGAGGCGTCTGCTTCTACTTCCGTTCAGAAGGGGAACTAGAAAGTGGCAGGGCTGATTTGCATTTGGGGGAACCACAAGGGTCACCACGGGGAGTCATTCCTCACCTGTTGCTTGGCTTATCTGCCTTCCCAACCCCCAGGAAGGGGGCTGGGGAGGAAGGTGACTGTGCCCAGGCACCCAGTCGGGCGCCTCATGCCAGAATCACTGCAGTGGGTTCGGTCGTGGGAGCCCCCATCTCCCCTAATTTGACTTGCCCATTTCCCTGCAAGTCTCCCCTCCTGAAGGAAGCCCACTTCCAGTGTGCCCCCCGCCTCTCCCTCCCAGGAAGGAGCTAGGGGGGTGCCGCTCTCCTGCCCACTCACTTCTCTCCTCCCACCACTTCACAGCTGAACCAAGCCTTCTGACCCTGAACTCCTCCCCCGCCCCCATCCCAGTCGCTTTCCTTGGTGGCGCAATACTCACGTGCACCTTTGTATGCTCCCAGACCAGGGGACGGGGACCCTGGGGCCCTGGGCTGGCAGGGAGTGAGTGTGGTGGGCGGAGGCACGAGGCTGGGGAGGTGCGTGAACAGCCGGCTGTGGTCAGGGTGTATGGACTTGAAAGGATCTACTACTAGCTTTGAGTTTCCCAGCTCTGCTGCTTTCTGGGTGGCAGACTTTGCATGTCTGACTCAGCTAGGCCTCAGCGTCCTCAATTGCAAACGAGGAAAACGCCTCCGGTGCATGCAGCCACTTCACTGGGCTCTTACCTGGAAAGCGAACCCAGCTTGGTGCCTGGCACATAGGAGGAGTCAAGTGGGTCACCCCAATCCCCAGTTTCCCTCAGGTGACTGAGCTGGACCACCTCGGGAGAGGATGGGGCTGCCAGACTCTTCCCAGCTCCATGCCTATAACCCAAGGATGGCGGAAGGGCTGCCTGTGGGTTTGTCACACCCTTAGGGGTAGCCAAGATCCTTAAAGGGGAGATGGCTCCAGCCTGGAGACCTAGGTTCCAAGTCCGGCTCTGCTGCCGGTTGCTGGGTGACCTTGGCAAAAAGTCCCTTGTCTAGTTAGCTTGGTTATAAAACGAGAGGACCAGGCTTCATGGCCTCAGATACCTTCTCTTGGCAGCTGTCTGTCGTGGTGGAACAAAACATCACCGACCCTTCTTCTCCCTGCGAGAGTCGGAGGGAGGGGGGGGGCTCCAGAATTGATTGCTAACCCTTTGGGCACCATTCCAGGGGGCCTCCAGTCACAGGGACCCATACCCTCCACCTACTTCAGCAGGTGATCTCTGCTGCATGTCTGTCCCTACAAAGGGCAGAGATGTGGGGAGCCCTGAAGGCCCTGAGAGGGTGCCTGGGCACGTATGCACATGTGATTGCACGTGCCCGGGCAGGGATGGGCTAAGCTGAGGAGAGCGGACTGGGTCTAGCAGCTGGGTGGCCTGGTTCTTCAAAGCCACTCCAGACTGAATGAGCCTGGTCAGAAGGGGTGGGGGGGCGGTGCCCGCCGCGCCCTCCCTTACAGAGGATGGATGAGTGCCTGTATACCCACGGGGCTTGGCCTGTCTCGCTGGCTGAGTCTGAAGGGCTCCTATTCCAGAGTGCTTTCTCTTGCCAGGGACTGTGGGCAGAGAGGGTACCCTTGGAGCTCAGGGAAAGGGGGTGATGGTGGTGGTGGGGGGTGAATTTCCTGTGTTGCTCCATCAGCAGCACAGTCTCACAAAGCTGCTTCTAAGCCTCTTGACTCGCTGTGGGAGGGACAATTCCCAGGCTGGCATCGTGAAGCCTTTGAGGGAGGCCTTGAAGGGGAGAGAGGAGTCTTCAGTTTGGGCTCCTTTGCTAACCATGGTACTGCGGAAGAAAGGCTTCGTGATATACTTACGTACAAATGGCAGCCTAGAAAATCCTATGGGGTATTTGTCCTCTTACTACACACATAGTCGCCAGGAGTCAGAATCAAGCTCTTTGGCAACAGGTTTTGTTTTGAGGGGAGGGTGGGTACTTTTAGGGCTCTGGGTCTAATTCCAGCAGTGTCCCTGGTCCCAAGTGACCTTCAGACGTGTCATTGCCCTCTCTGGGGAACCCCATATAGAAAGGAAGCATCGGGGGTGCTCAGAGTACCAGGAAGAGCAGAGCTGAGGATCCACCTGGTTTCATCCTTCAGTTTGCTTATTGCTTGTGGCTGCTTGCTGTGCGTGACACCCTTCTCCAAACCCTTCTCTGCTGATTACCATCAGCCCGCTAATCCCTGCGATGGTTTTGAAACACCCCAGCACTTTCACAGACTCCGAGAAAGAAAGGGTTTGTCAACAACATCTCAGGCTCCTGGGGACCAAGGGGAACCCAGCCCTGGTCTTGAGAAGTTCCAACCAACTCACACCCCTACAGCCAGCTGAGCCCCACAACCCCCACCTCATGCTTGATGGAACCCCACGGAAAGGGTCTGAGGCAGGCAGGTAGCTCCGAGGGTAGGGGACACCTGTGTACTCAAGTGTGGAATTAGGCGAGCCCAGTTCAGTCCATGTGACCCATGCTTGGGTGCTGGTCCAGGCAAGCCAACTTTCGACCTCCCGTTGTGACCTTCAACAAGTGACCTGATTTTTTGGAGCCACCTCTGCTTTAGAACAGATCCTGAGGATTTTCTTTGCTGCGAGATGACCAGGTCTTGGCGCCAACTGTCAGCTTTATTCAGCCAAGCACTTCACCACTGCTCCACCGGGGCCCACTCCATCAGTACCAAAGGGATCTAGCTCCTGCCTTTAGTCTTGGTGACACCTTTAGGAGTTATGTATTGGACTGCTAACCACAAGGTCAGCAGTTTAAACCCACCACCCACTGATAGTGTTAGAAGATAAGACTGATAGTCTTAGAAGCCCACAGAGGCAGTTCCGCTCCGCCCTGTAAGGTCATTATGAGTCAGAATTGGCAGTGAGTTTGGGTTTGAATGAATTCAGTGCTAACTCTTGGTGCAGACCACAGGGCCCCACAGTTTTAGGTGCGGGGCGGGGATGGCAGGGACCTCTCCCTAGATAAGGCGGATTGTGAAACCTCAGAGCATCCTTCTGCGCTGCAAACCAACTGAAGCTACAGGCACGGGTTGTATACAGAGGGGATGGAATTCCAGCGGCAGCAATTTAACACCTCCTGATTCCCGAGCCGTGAAGTCATCCCTAACCCAGGCCTTAACCCTTGTGCCTCCCCACCCCCACGGGTGCCATGCGTTCAGCAGATTCCTGCGCCTGGGGGCAAGGGGTGCCTGCCCACCACTTTCCGGCTCCCTTCCGGGAATCTAGCTTCCTGTTCTGTGGAGGTGGAAGGGTCAGGTTCCATCCCCCTCTCCGGAACCCCAGACTGTGGGTGGGGTGGAGGAGGGGCCTGGCCTTGGAAGTGCCCTTCCAGGGACTCTCCAGCCTGACTGCCCTGCCCTGGGAACAGATCTGACTCCCAGACACCCCTAGCACACTGGCAGGCTCTGTGGGGCCTGACCCAAACGGAGACCCAGGTTCTTTCCACCCTCGCCCTCTGGCTGACTTCCTCCAAGACCTTGGACACAAAGGGTTTGTGAGTCAGTTGGGGGCTCAAATTCACTTCAGTTTACACAAAAGCCCCAAGTCTTCTGGCAAATAGGGGGTATTTGAATTAATGAGTGAAGTAATGACCTTGACCAGGGCCTACCATTATGGGGGCGGACAGACCACTCATCCCAAAGCTAGAAGAAGGTTGGTAGGCTTTTGTCCCCTCCTCCAACTGGGCCCTGAATATTAAAGGAGCTTTATTTTCCATTTGGCTGAGCAAAGGCCTTCGGGAAAGTTCTGTGCCTCCCACAGCAGTTGATTCCCCTAAAAGCTTCTGGGTGGGCGGGCGTTGGCTTGTGGGCTAACAGACTGGGTCTCCGTTGGGGCAGGAGCCAGAAAGCTGGAGACCTGGGATGGGAGGTGGAGTGGAGGGCCCAGCAGGCGTTCACCCAGAAGGTTTGAATAGCTATTTGAAAGACTTCACTGCTAAAGAAGAGGACTTGAAACCCTAACGGATGAAGATCAAACACTAACCCGACAACCTTCAGTGTGGAGCACAGCGCACCCACCGTACAGGGCACGGAAACCTTCTCTGCGGCACTGAGAGCCACAGCAAGGATGTCCAAGACTGGCCCTGTCAGGATTTCATTCCCCTGGGATCTGCGATCAATGCCCGGGGTGATCCGAAGTTAGGCGATTGAATGACGAACTGCACTGGCCTCTGCTGCAAAAGAGCTCTGTAAAGGGTCCCAGGAGCATAGCCCACGCCAGGGTCTTTTCAGTCACAAGCACACAAAAAAGGCGGGATGGTGTATCAGGAAGACTGCAGCCCGGACACCTGTGCGTGAGGGTGTCGGTGACAAATACCGACTGTTCCATGGAACAGCCAGAAGCACAAATAACGTGTGTTTTAGAAAAAGGACGCAGGATGCCCCTGAGAAGGGAGGCTGTGGTATGGATGCGTTATCAGGTGGGGCACCTGGTAGAGGATCGTGGGAAAGAGGAGAGACTTTTTTTATGGATTGGCACAGTGTGGTCTAACAGTGAGTGAGAGGACGGGCAGACCTGGGCGGTGTTTTCTTCTGCTGTGCCCAGGGCCTCCGTGATTCAGCTTCGAACAGCTTTGGTACATTTGAGTCACTAGGCCCAGGCCCCACCCTGGCCTGGAGGTATGATGTGGGTGAACTGGCCCTGCCTGTCCCAGGCCCATTCTGACTCCGTTGGGAAGGGTGTCCTGGGCCAGCAGCACTAGCCTCCTCCCTGCGGGGTGGGGATCAGCTTTGCCGGCAGCAGAGAGCACTTGCTTGAGAGTTGAGAGTTATTTCCGAGGAGCAGGCCCGTGGGGCTCTGGAGTCAGCCCTAGGCTGAATGTCCATTTCTCTATCATCGTGGTGGTGCTGAAAGACCGCCATGTTTTGTATTTAGTGCCCTGTTCAAATGGGATTGACAACACCCTCTCAGGTATTAATAGAAGCTGGCACATTGCAAGTATTCAATAAACAGTACCACTTCAAACCTGTAAATATTTGTAGACTCAGAAACCCTGTGTCAGGTGACTGCGGGCCAGACTGGACTAGGTGGCAATGGCTTTAGTTTGGGCTTCAGCCAGATTGATAAAGCAGCCCGTGGCACAGTGGACTCAGCATTGGGCTGTGAACTGGAGGGTTGGCAGTTCAAGCCTACCAGCCACTCCTTGGGAGAAAGAGGAGGCTGTCTTCTCTCTTAAAGATTGCCGTCGCCGCTTGTGAGGATCAGAATCATCGGGTTAGGGGACACCAAGGTCACTTGGCATAGCAGAAAGACAGCTCACAAAGACAGTGTTCTATATCCTACATTGGTACATGTGAAACATAATCTGTTTTGTGAACCTTCATTTAGTTCATAAAGTTAAAAAAAAAAGTATTTGCAGCCTCAGAAACCTATCTAGATTTGCTAGGAGTTGGAATGGATGGCCACAAGTTTGGTGTTTGGTTCATCACTGGTAATTGGCTGGTTCCCATCTATTATTTGTTTCTGGGGAGCTCTGGTGGAACTGTGACTTAACCCCTCCTGGTAAAGGAAAAGGCAGGCAGCAGGCTGATCCCACCCCCACCCCCACCCCCAGGCAGCACCGAGGGAGAAAGGTGTGGCGGGTCTGCTCCAGGCTTTTGTGATTTGATTAGCTCAGAATAGGAAAGATTTGCCCCAGGTCACACAGCAAGGTAGGGGCAGAGGCCTGGCCACCTTTTATCTTTCATGCCTGCTCTACTGCCTTGAGGGGGCTCAGGGGTTGTTGTAAGAACCAGGGGAGCTGTTGGCTGATGTGTCCCCCCCTTTTTTTTAAATCCCTAGATCCGAGAGACTGAAGTCGTGGACCCTCAAGACCTCCGCCTCGAAGGCCGGTACTTTTCTGGAGCCCTGCCAGACGATGAGGATGTTGGGGGTCCCGGGCAGGAGCCCGATGACTTTGAACTGTCTGGCTCTGGAGATCTGGGTACGGAGGGTGTGGCAGGAGTGGGGGAGGGTGGCCTTACTTTAGGTCTCCAGGTTGACTTCAGGTGGGGGGTCCCACCCATACCCAGTCACCTTTCCCTCCCTCAAAATGAAACAAACTAAAAAGGGGACTGGATTAACCTTTTCTATCCTGAGACGCTCCTGGGGCAAGTTTTGTATCGATTGGGATCTCTTCCCCGACTGGTGGGTGGTCGGTCAGTCAGTCGCTTTTTGGCAGGGCGGAGAGGGGTGGGGGCCGGGACACTGGGAGTGTGGGTACTCTTAGAAGCAGAGGGACCAACTCAGGAGCCAGGGGGCTTCTGTGGGCAGAGGTGGGGGTGGAAGACAAAGAACAAGCCCCTCTGGCTTAAGTGGGAGGTAGGGGTTGGTCAGACCCGGGAGCCAGGAACTTTGCAGCTTTTGTGGTGACTGCTTAGCCCTGGCTTTGAGGCCAGAGGACTGAGAAGGTCCCTGTGTGCAGGGTGGTGGTGTGCCTTTGGTGGCATCCAGTCCTGACCTCACTGACGCCAATCCTCTGCTCGGGGTGACTGTTGAGCCCCCGTTTCCTAATCTGTTGAAGTGCTTAGTGCATACCAACCACCCAGACCGTGTGTGTGTGTGTGTGTGTGTGTGCATACAATAAAAAACTCACTGCCGAGGAGTTGATTCTGACTCATGTGACCCTCTATGTATATAATGATTATGATTTGAGCTGTGCTCTCTCGGGGTCTTGTTAAGAACGCTGATTCTAATTTAGTAGACCCCGACTCTGTATTCTGACCAGCTTGGGTGATGCCGCCAGCCCCTGGATCTATACTTTAGAGAGAAAACGTGTGGGGTCCTCTGGCCTGCCGCCACCAACTCACAGCCTCCTTCTTCCTAAAAAAGTTGGGGGGAGAGGGGACAGGACTTCCGAGCTCCATTTTACAGCAGAAGCCCCCGAGGAGGCTTTGGGATGAGAATGGGGGTTGGATGTACATTGGGATTTTCACCACTAGCCATGGCTGATGGGGTCATTCATTGCCTGTGGTGACCAACCTAACACATAGCCTTTCTGACCCTACAGATGGCTCAGAGGACACTAGGATCTCCCCCGATGTCATCCACCCCTTGGTAAGTGGCTACACATTCTTGCCTACTCCACCCTGACCCTCTTGCTTCTCCATAACACACCTGTTGAGAGAGGTCGAAAAAATACAGCCCATCTGGGCAAGAGTACACAGGGAAGGTAAAATCTGACTTCATTCTGCAGGCAAGCATTAATCTGAGACCCTGGGCCCTTTTGGGGACAGCTTGGTTCAGATAAGGGTCCTGGTGGCCTAGTGGTCACCCGGTGGGCTACAATCTGCATGGTCAACAGTTCAAAGCCACCAGCCCCTTCAAGGGAGAAAGACCGGCCGTTCTACTCCTGTAAGGAGTTAGTCTGTCTCAGAAGTCCACCGGGGCAGTGTACCCTGTCCTATGAGTCAGCATTGGCTCCATGACAATGAGTTTGGCTTTGGGGGATTTTTTGGCTGAGGGTTGCTGATGGGCCATCCTTCCCCCAGGGATAGGCCATCATCCAGCTCTTCCCTTTTCTGGGCATTTGTAACTGTTTCCCAGCACTGCTGTCAAATGACAGCTTACAGCTCCCATGTGTACGGTATTCTTCACGTACAGTCTTCAGTGTATGGTGAAGATTTCCGTACCAACTCCTTTCTGTAGGCTGTGCAGTAGCTCACCCAGTTTCTCTTGTTGCTGCAAGCATCTCTTAATCCACATCTCTGATTATCAGCTGCTTAGGGCAGAGTCCTGGAAGCACACGTTTGCTGCCTTCAAGAGCAAGCCTGTATGAAGGCTTTTTGCCCAAACCGCCCTCCTGAGTGTGTTCTTTGAAGTGGACTCCACACACCCTGTCCTTTCCCCCCAGCTTGGGGTAGATTGACTAAAAGGTTTTGGCAGCAGCCTGGGAGGGGAGGCCTGGGGCTCAGACTGAGAGTCCTGTGCCCTGGTCCCTCCCAGCCTGGACTGAGAGTGTGTCTCTCTTCCTTCCTTCCAGGTACCAATTAATAACAACATTCCAGAGAGGGCCGGTCCTGTGAACCGGGTTCCCTCACAACCCAAGGAGTTGGACGAAAACGAGGTCATTCCCAAGAGGATCTCACCCAGTGATGGGAATGAAGACGTGTCCAATAAGGTGTCCATGTCCAGCACTGCCCAGGGCGGTAGCATCTTTGAGAGGGCAGAGGTCCTGGCAGGTGAGGTCCCCTAAGGTGAAGGGGGATACAGGCTGTCAGGGTGGAGTCCCATGAGCTGCCACCCCCCACCCTCCCCATCCCTTAGAAAGCATGGCTTCGTGGTTATGAGTTGGTCTGCTAACCACAAGGGCAGCAGTTCAACCCCCGCTGGGCCACTCCGAGGGAGGGAAAAGGATGGGGTTTTCTATGCCAGTAGAGGTACAGCCTTGGACACCCACAAGGACAGTTCTACCCTGTCCGTTAGGGTTGCTAAGAGTCTGGGGTTTTGGTTTAAGATGCAGCTGACAGCCCGTCTGAGTGTCCTGGTACCCTGAAAGGCTAACCCCCCTTAAGGGGTTAGCTCTGGCTTCAGGGGTAGTGTGCGCCATCACTCGCTGACAGGTTGGCTGGTGGTTCAGACCCAGCCCAGGTGCCTGGCTGGTTGGTGATCTACTTCCAGAAAGGCCACAGCTCCACCCAGAGTGACCCTAGCATCCAAAACAGTTCAAGGGTGACCACAGTTGGCTGGGTGGTGGAAGAGTATAATCAGCTTATCAAAACCTATGCCGTTCCCTTGGGAGGAGTCATCATTCGCCTTTAAGTCTTTTTGTTGTCTTTTGAAAGCACTCTTCCCATTGTGGCTTTGGCATCCAGGAAATCAGTTAGTCATAAAAAGTACCCTAACTTCCTTGGGAAGCCTGGGGGTTCCTTCATACAGAGCTGGCTTCCCCAAGCAGCCACCTCACTGATTAGCCTTGTGACCTTGGCCCAGAGCCTTGGCACTTGAAGGGCCTCTGCTCACTCCTCTGTGAAAGGGGCCCAGTGATACTGGGTTGGGTTGGTGTCATGGTGCCAGGAAGAGGGAAAGGACCTGCAGACCGTCCCGGCCATTCAGCCCCCACTGACCTTGGATGTAGGTGGTATCTGGGTACCTGGTGCATCAGAAACAGAGGGTTGAGGAGGTTAAGTGTTGGGCCTCAGATGGTTTGACTCTCCCTGTGAGGGGAAATGATGCCCCAGGGTGAGGCATCAGGAGTGGCGTGATCCAGCCTGGTTGGGGATTCCTTAGCTCTGGCCTCCCTGGAGGTGGGTGTGGCCTTCAAAGCTTCCGAGTTGTCCAAGGAGCTCCCTTTCTGGCCAGGTTTTGCAGGACCACACGGTGGCCCCGCGCATCTGGATGAACCAGCCTGGCAAGTGGTGGGTCATGGGCCCTGGGAACTAGCCGGACCTCGACCGCAGCTAGGAGGAACCCCTAAGAAGCATGGGATTTTGCTTCAGGAAGTATTTCTGTTGCTTTCAAAGGACAAAGCCAATGGTCATTGATCTAGTTGAGTCAAGATTTTATTACTTATTATTCCTCATATGGGAAGACCGATGTCAGGAGAAAATGCACCCCTTGCCCGGGAGTGGGGGGGACACCTAGTGAGGGGCAGAACACCCACCAGGGCAGCCCTGGAGCTTCCCATTGAGAAGTAGACAGATCTCCGGTGCAAAGCGGTGTTGTTGAGCCAGTGGAGGTGGGGCCTTCCCTTCCGCTCACTTCTACACAGCACCTGGGCCTTATCAGGTGTTGGCTGCCTACCACGTGATGCAGGTGGCCACCCTGGGCCCCCACCATATCAGTGGTTGGTTATCTGCATACTGATAAGGAAACTGGAAAACTCAATCTTTGGCCCAAGGTCACCGCCAGGCCCAGGGCCTAATGGAGAAGCTGGGGTCTTTGATGAGGAAAGGGAAAATGGAGGCACCCGAGGGGCACCTTGCCGCCTGCCTTGTACAACAGTCACCCAGAGGGAACCTTGGCTGGCCCCTCTGTGCCTGCCTGCATCCCATTCTCTGAGAGAAAATAATCTTCGCCTGAGTAAAACTGAATTAGGGGGCTCAATCTGCTACTGCAGGGGAGAAGCATCCCTGTCCCCCTGGGGCCATTCAGGCCACCTGGCGGGGTAGCGAGGGAGCAGAGATTGCTGAGAACACCGGAGGTTAGAAGCCCACAGCTGGTGCCCCACACTAGCTGGCGCCCTTGGGCTGTGCTCTGAGCGCAGGTGTGGGTGTCATTAGTAAGCAATTGAGGTGTGCTGTGCCCAGTACTGGGTGCTGTTGTCAGGTACCAACTCGTAGTGACCCATGTGACAAGAGTCAAACCACCCCATAGGGTCTCTCGGGAGGGGGTGGATCTTTTTATTGTGAATTGGGTCATGGTTTGCAGAACAAGCCCATTTTCCTTTCAACAATTCACATATCGCTTTGCTGCATGTCATTGATTGCATGCAATCTCCCCCACCCGCCTGCCCCCTTCCTGAGTTTCCTGTTCTTCCCTTTCCTTAACCTTTCCCAATTTTGTCCTTGGGTAAATGCTGCCCTTTAGATCTTATTTACCAGCCAAGTGTTTTCCAGGCCGTAATCTTTGATGACCGGGAAAGTAGGGCCATTGAGGAAAGGAGGAAACCCATCAAGGAGAAGGATCGACCCAGGGGCGGCAACCGAGGGCGGTGGGGACATCGCAGGGACCGGGCAGTGTTTTTCTGTTGTGTATGGGTTGCTTTGAATCAGAACTGACTCAGGGCAACAACAGGAACAACAGCCGGGACAGAACAGGTCACCCCAGGGTGGGTTCTCACGCCGCAGGCTTTGGGTTGGCTGCAGGTGGGTGCTGGACCTTGACGCCATCATGGCACCTTTCAAGGTTGCCAGGAGTATGAACATGGCCCACCGAGGTTGACAGTGCGTTTGTACTGAGTATGTGCTATGCAGCGGGCGCGGTTCCAAGCACTCTTCAGGGAAAATGTGGACCACGCTGCATCATTCTTCTCCCCATCAGAAAGGGTGCCGTAGAGTCCACTTGGGCTCTCGGTCATCCTGTGTGTCCCAGAGAGGGCTGTTCCAGCGGGTGTTCAGGGGCTGGATTTTGCAGAAGTAAATCGAGGCCCCCCTGAGTAGGCTTGAACTCCCAACCTTCCGGTGAGCACATTAATCATTTGGACCCCCCCCCCTTCCTCTCCCCTCATGGCTTCTCTTCTTCTCTTCCCAGCTCTGACTGTGGGCGGGGTCGTGGCCGTCCTCTTTGCCACGTTCCTGGTGCTGCTGCTGGTGTACCGCATGAAGAAGAAAGACGAAGGCAGCTATGACCTGGGCAAGAAGCCCATCTACAAAAAAGCCCCCACCAACGAATTCTACGCGTGAAGCACCCCCTCCCAGGGGTGCTCTGATTGGATTGTGGGAGTGGGAAGGGTGGTGAACATTAGGGGAGGGGGGGGGCAATCCTATGCGGACCTACCGGTATCTCCAGCTCAGATCGCGTTTGAATGTCAGAAGATGAAGCGCCATCTTCTATTGGGTCTCCATTTCTTGGGCCTCCATTGCCCCCCCCCCCCCGCGGAAAAAATGGGGTTCCACTTTCTGAAGGCAGCCTGAGGACTGGATCCTTGCTTAACCTCCCAGCATAGAGCCTGGGACCCAAGACCAACTTAGAACCCAGCTTGAATCATTCCCTAGCTGAGCCCTCAGGAGCCCAGGGGCCGAGGGGGTGTGATGGGGATCCTGGCTGGAGGACTTGATGCCCCCCACCCACCCCCACCACCAGAGGCCTTCCTCGCGCCTTTCACAGCCTGTCTGCCAGGAATTGGGAAGAGGAGCTAGCTCCATCTGCACCTCCCTAGATGGTCCTTGGGGATTTGTGAGCACACTACAGGATTCTGTATTGTAAGCTGGGGGCCTTTCTGGGCTCTTTCACATGACTTTTGGAAACCAGCCTTTTTTTTTTTTTCTTAAACTGGGAAAGGGCGGGGGAGAGGAAAGAGCCTGATTGTCCGTACTGAATGGCTCTGTCGAATGTGTGTAGACCTATTTTTAAGTAGGGCTTGTTTTGTCTTTCAAACGGTTCATTCCTTGATGGCAGGGTCTCTCTCTGCCTGGCAAGAGCGTGCTAAGTCTGTATTTATGGTTTTGTTTTTTGTTTTTTTCTCAAAAATGAGAGAAGAGCCGGAGATGATTTTTATTAATATTTTTTTATCATTATTTATAGCTTCAGACAGGGCCTCTCCTTCCTTAAGCTCTCTTTCTGCCTCTCTGTCATTGCTGTTGTTGACGGCACACTGCTGCCCATCTCATCTTCGGCCCTTTCTGAGGCTGCGTCCTCTTAAAAAAAAAGTAGCTTTTGCTGAAACATAGATTTCTAGCAGATCTCAAACTATGATGCAAGGGATAGTGGGATAGTCTGTCTCTCTTGTAATATATTATTCGTCCTGGGTTCTAGAAAAATAGATGAATATATTTTTTCAGGAAAGCGTGCGATCGTTCCAGGTTGAAGTCGGCTGGTTGTGTGTGCGTGGCTTCTGCGTGGCCCGTGGGGGTGGTTTTTGTACCTGTTACTCTTAACCTGTTCCTCGCTGGTGCCTTTTTTCCCTCTTCCACTGGGACCCAGCGGTGGAAGATGGACAATTCTACCCTGTTTTCTGCTTTGGGCCCAGCTGGTGGTCCCCCATGTGTTTCCTCTCAGCACTAGCCTGGACTCTGCCCACTTTGGTCACCACAGGCCACGGGTGGCTCTTGAAACGTGCATCGCTTAGAGTTGCATGAAGTTCAAGGTGTCGGCCCTAGGACGTCCAGCGCCATTGACGTGCTCAGTGGCCTTTGAGTGTGCAGACAGAGCACTTCCATCTCTTGTGCCGCTTTGAGGATGAAGCTAGCTCAACAAGTCACCGCGCTAGCTCAGCTCCCCCGGGCAAGGGCAGAGGGTGCAGGGGACATGGGGCTGACTAGGCAGCCAGCCTCAGCTGGAACCCTCTCCGGAGGGGAGGTACCTAGTGGTCTATCCTGGGTAGCCATATCGTTCCTTGACCCCACTGGCTGGGGTCGGGGGGCCTCCCTCCTCTTGTGTACCCAGTGGCCATTCCTGAGCTCCTTCACCACCCCAGCCCAGGGTCCCAGCTGGCTGGGTCCCCCGCCCACTGCCCCTCCCCCTTTCCTCGGCTGTGTTGGGAGTGAGCACCTCTTCTGTAGCCACCTCTCACACTGTTGTCTGTTACTGATGTTTTGATAAAGACAATAAAACTTGGTACTTTGTAGATCGGCTCCGTTTTTCTCCCCCTCTCATCTTCATTGTGTTTTAGGGGACATGAGGGATCCCATCTCAAATATAACTGCAGGAGAACATTTATTAAGTCCTAAACGAGATAAAGACCAGCATCCAGATAAGAAGAGGTCCATAGCAGGTGGTTGAAGTAGCAGCAGGGGATTCACAACTGGGAGGCTAGACAAGTGGTGGGGGTGGGGTTACTGTCACAAAAGCATGTGTGGGGGCAGATCAGTGCATCACAGTAACAGGTGGGACTGGAGAGGCTGGCAGGAACTTGACCGTGACTGGGACAGGTACATTGTTATATAGAGGGGCTTTGGGTCCAGGGCCTTCCAACAGCAGAGCGGTCTGGGTAACACTGATCGGGCGTGGCCATGCGATCCCCCTGTATGTGGTGACCTCCGTCAAGGACACCCCTAGGCAAGCTGCTGAGAGACCGCCCCTCCCTCCCTGATCAGGTGGGAGGGGCATCATTAGCGACATCCTTGGTTAATGATCAGAGAGAATTCAGGGGAGGCTTAATCTATTTGGGGACGCTGCAAACTTTTGGATGCCCTTTTGCAAACTGGGGTGCTCAGAGCTGACTCTCCAACACAATTGTGAACAGCTGAATGGACCAATCAAACACTTCTTGCCAGCAGAGTAAGGTGACACTGATGGCGTTCCAGGTGGGCAGCTGTTGGGCACCTCTTTCCATCTTGGGAGCCCGGGTGGTATGGTGGTTACATGTTGGGCCGGTAACCTCCATGTTAGCTGTTCAAGACCACCAGCCGCTCCACAGGAGAGAGTTGAAGCCTTCTCCCCTAAAGAGTTAGTTGCAGCCCCACAGGGGCTGCTCTGAGGGCCCGGAGGTTTTGTTTTTTTCCCATATTGGTGTTCCACTAAGGTAAACTCGTGACCTGCCTCTCTGCCCTTTCCCAGTGGCTGCTGCTCCCTTGATCACATCTACATAGTCCTGGAGGCGGAGCTCAAGGTGAAAGCCACCCTTTCTTTACACAGGAAGCCAAATGCCTCTGCTGTCTTCAAGCATGTAGTCCTCTGCAGCCTGTGGGCCCCTTGATCTCCTGGAGCAGGAGAGAAATCCCCCCTCCTGGCTGCCAGAACAGGGGCAGAGATCTGAGCAGCTACAGAGGGGGGGTGTGTGTCTGGGGAGAAGTCAGAACGGGCATGGGCTGGGTGCCTGGGGGCAGGTTGCACATACTTCAGAGTTTACCTTGCACTGTGTTTAAATATTAAACTCCACAAGCTTTGAATAAGCTGCCAACCCGAAATCAGGATACTTCCGGAAAGAACCCAGAATCTCTACTTCCTTTGGGGGGTGAGGATGATGGGGAATCGGTGGGGGAGGTGGGGTGCTTTGGCAATGTGGCAGCTCTTCTGCCTCGTTGGGTGTGTAGCGCCTGCAGAGCCACAGCAAAACAAGACGGGAACCCTGCTGCTTAAGGTAGATTCCAACTTAGGATGCCCTCTCTCAGGTGCTCCAAGCGAGAATTGTCCTACAGCATTTTCTTGGCTACAAACTTTATAGAAACAGATCAACCCGGCCTTTCTCCTTGGGCCCTACCGGGTAGATTTGAACCATGAACCTTGAGGTTGGCACTTGAGTGCAAATTGCTTGCCACCACCCAGGGACCGCAGTTACAATGTCATGAGGTGCTGTCCTCAAACAAAATTCGCCGCCATCGAGCTGATTCTGACTCATAGTGGCCCTATGGGGCTCCTGTGGGTTTGCAAGACGAATTCTTGATGGGAGAGGAAAACCTCAACGTCTTCCCTCGGACCTGTTGGCGGTTTCACGCTGCTGACCTTGAAGTTAGCAGCTCGCTTTGCCACTGGGGCCCTTACATAAGATTTCTAAGCCTCGTCTTTCTCTCCCAGCCTGGCAGGTGAGTAGGAAGCGCTGTCTTTGTGGTTCGCGTTCAAAAGCTTACCGAACTAGCCTGGCTCAAGGGCCACCTGCTCCTGGGCTCTGTCTCGTCGACTCCTGCTTCACCTCTGGGGCCGCCGGCTTGGCGTCTGCAGACACTGTAGCTGGCAGGCAACACAGATGGCTTCACCGTTATCCTGACACCAAACCTGTGAGTTTGTAGGACTTGCCCGCTTCTCTGCAAGGTCTAGCCGAAAACACTGGCCCTTGGACTTGGATGGTTCTCACTTGCGTCCAGACTTGTTCTGCACCATCCACATCACTTGTGGTGAATCAGGGTGGTTCCGTGGGGGTTTTTATCGACTGGCTTCACCTTCGTCTGGAAGCTCCGTGAAGCTTGTTGAGCATCACAGCAACATGCAAGCCCCCCTGCCCTCCCGAGGCAGGGGCTGCCTGTAAGATGCCTGATGCATTGGCAAGGAATTAAACCGGGTCCCCATATGGAAGGTCAGAATTCTTCCACCCAGCCACCACTGCCTGAGCGGGCAGAACCACAAGATCTTGGGTTCTAACCGACCAGTGACTCCATGGAAGAAAACGAGGCTGGCTGTTCCAGTAAAGTGTCAGTCTTAGAAACCCAAGAGCAGTTCTACTCTTAAGTGTCAGAATGACTTGATGGCAATGGATTGGGATGAGAGGGGACTTTGAACTCAGGTTTCAGAATGCGTTCATTACTCCACGGGCTGTCGCCCCTTCTTTGCAGGAGAACCCCCTTTGTAGCAGTGAATTTGTCTTTGTCAGCTCGAATCCCTTCCAAGGTCCCCTCGGCAAACTGGCTAGGTCCCAGGGGTCTTCAGTTGGTTCCAATTCCTTGTCCCTTGTGCCTTGTAGAAGACTCTCACTTATGACAAAATAACAATATAAATTATCAAAGGTTCATGAGGGAGGGGGGAGCAGGGAGGGAGGGGGAAAAATGAGGAGCTGATGCCAGGGGCTTAAGTGGAGAGGAAATGTTTTGAGAATGATGAGGGCAATGAATGTACAAATGTGCTTTACACAATTGATGTATGTATGGATTGGGATAAGAGTTGTATGAGCCCCTAATAAAATGATTTTAAAAAATTGACTCTCACACCTGTTGGAATTGTGCTATCCGATACAGGAGGTACTAGCCACATGTAGCAAGTCACCCTTCAATGAATTACAATAGAAATACAAATTCAGGTCTAGTTACCTTTCAGCTGTTCAAATAGCTACATGTGGGTTGTCAGCGACCACGGACATTTTCACGATCACGGAATTCTCTATCAGACTAAGTGGGATGGTGTGAGATGGCTTGAGACCCCTGGGTTCTGATCACACCTTTTACCAGCTGCTACCTTGTACTTCAGGGAGCCCTGGTGGCAAAGCAGTTATATGTTGGGCTGCTACCAGCAAGGTCAGTGGTTCTAAACCAGTAGCCACTCCGAGGGGAAAAGACGAGGCTTTCCACTCCCATAAAGAGTTACGGTCTTGGAAACCCACAGGGGCAGTTCTACCCTGTCCTGTAGGCTGGCTCTGAGTCAGAATGGGCTGGATGTGGCAGTGGGATTTTAGAGTTTGTCTTCCAACAGCCTGTGGGGAGCTAAGTCAGTGCCTGGCCCACAGAAAGCGCTCTATATACATGGTACTTCCTTCTCACCATCAGGATCATCTTTTGGGTAAGGTGAAGGAGCCTTGGTAGTGCTGTGAGCTAGACACGGGGCTACTAGTCACAAGGCCAGCAGTTCGAACCCACCAGCTGCTCCTTGGGAGACAGAGGAGGCCGTCTGCTTCTGTCAGGATTTATAGTCTTGGGAACTCAAAGAGGGCAGTTCTACTCTGTCCTATGGAGTTTGGGCGTTGTTGAGTCAATGCCAACTCATGACCCTGTAGCAGAATTGACTTGGCAGTGGGTTGGGCTTAGAGGGGACTTTGAACCTAGGGAGTCAGGCTTATATCAACATAACTATTTCTTATCATGGTTTCTGTGGGTCAGGGGTTTGGGAGCAGTTTACCTGCGTGCTCTTGGCTCTGCATGTTGGACGGCTACAATCAAGACGTTGTCTGGGGCTGCAGGTCGTCTGTAAGCTTGACGAGGGCAGCCAATGGGGAAGCCGGTCCAAAGGCTCTCCTACAGGAGGGGCCTGGCTGTCGGCAGAAGGCCTCAGGTCCTTGCCACCTGGACTCCCATCGGATTGCTTGAGCGCTGGGATGCAGTGAGCAGCAGACATGGTCCAGGAGGACCAGGAAGTTACAATGGTTCCTGTGAGCCAGCCTCCAAAGTCTCGCAGCCTCACGTCCACAACATCCTGTCGGCCCCCAGGGCCAGCCCGGTTCATCGTAAGGGGGCTGCAGAGCCATAAGAATGCTAAGGAGGCCAGACTCACTGGACACCAGCCTCAGGCTTTACGTAGAGGCCGGAGTCATGGGGAGCCATCTCAAGGGCTTAGAAGCTAACACAGCCCACCCCCAGTGCAGCTTGGACACAGGGTAAACTGACTCAGGAGAACTCCGTCTGATGGTTTCTGAGGAGGCGACAGATGTCAAGTGCGTTCTGACACAACGGGGCCCCTTTTGTTCATAAACATGAGAACACGTGCAGTGGGTTAAGATGATGCCAACTTTAGGCACTGGGCGGTGGAAGCTCCTGGAAGTGATGCGAGGACTCCCGGTGGCACCAAAGTTAAGCGCTTGATGGCTAACCCAAAGGCTGGCAGTTCCAACCCACCCAGCAGCTCTGTGGGACAAACACCTGGCCATCTGCTTCCTTCAGGATTCCAGCCTAGAACACCTGCGGGGCAGTTCAATTCGGTGCCACAGGGTCATAATGAGTTGGCATTGACTCAACAACGCCCAATAACAACAGGGGTCATCTGACTTGCCAAAGGTCAGCCAGCTAGGAGGTGCCAGAAGCAAGACTGGCACCAAGTCCTTCATACTCCCACCCAGGTTACGGCACCAGAGGGGGGATTTCAGACTCCAGGCAGTGTTGGGGTGGAGGGGGCTTTTGAACCTGAGGGCTTGGGGGATGAGCTTGGTGGAGTGGGTTGTAAGGAAGAGCTCGGTCACAGGTTCTGCTTTCCGCAGAACTTTGCCTGGGC